GTCTCCAGTTGCTAGATAGGAGATGCCTCAACTTAGCGTCCCCGGTGGAGTTTTCGAATACATGTTCTCTTTTTTTTTCTCCTAAAGAGTGAATATTTGTCAAGGTGGAGATTGTTAGAGTATGTGTGACTCATATATTATTATGTGCACAATGGCAAGGAGGCAGATGTCGAAACGTAGCGGAGTTTGCGACGGCATTTGCCTTGCGGGATTGATATATTTTATGTATGGGGGGGATGCTGATTAGTTGGGGGTGCGGGGCAACGCCCCTGCGGTACGGTACAGGGGTATTTTGTAAATACGTCCGTACTAGGGTTATATAAATACTTAAGATGTAACCCTACTTTAAATAATGAAAAAGAACGGCCGCTCGTTCCTGTGGATGTAGGCACATTGTCGAACCACGTAAATCTCTGTGTTATTTTCTCTTGCTTTCTTACTTGTTTAATTCTTTATTATTCACCATAATTGTTGCACGATCACAACAGTATGTTTTGCTGTGATAAAAATTGAATATATATATCACAGACAAATACCTTCCACTCAACTGCAGCGGCATCATGGGCAATGACACGAGCAACACCTTCAATAGATCTAAAGTTCATTATAAAATCCTAAATGTTCCTCTTCTCACGGAACTTAGCAAGAGACTCGTAACTTTCATCAAATCAAGCAATACAACAAGATGTCGAACCAGGAGCGCGAGGAGAGAGAGAGGGGGGGATATACACCGGAGGACATTACAAAAAAATACTTAACATTTGTTCTTAATAACCTAAAAAGATCGTGCCTAGAACTATTGACAAAAGAGATCCTTATATTGCATTTAGTTCTAATTTTCACAATTTTTTTAGTGTGTAGTTAGTTCAAATCAAAAAAAAAAAAAGATTTATAAGATTTTAAGCCTTAAAAAGAGTCCTATCAAAATTCAAACTCCATTAAAAATAAAGGGTTTATGGAGGCCGATCCACAGCTGTGGACTTTGGGGTTAATAAGTCCATGCATATATTTTTTAGGGCTTAAAAGACAATTAAAGGTATAAAAACTAATTTACCTTTAGTGATATAAATAACTATATTACAAAATGGATAGTGACAGCGAGATAGTGACAGTAACATAGTAATAGTAACAGTAACAACGACACAATAAGAGTAACATAAGACAGTGATATTGAGATAATAAGAATTATAACGATAGTGAATTTTTATTATCACTATCAGGGTTATTCTTTTGGGTCATCAAGGAATATTACAGTCATAATTACTATTTTAACCTTAATGACAACTGCGAAATGGACAGTGATAGTGTAAGTGGCGGTAAAATTGTCACCGTGATAGTGATAGTGACAGTGAAACACAGTAACAGTAACCCAAATTCCACGGAACTATATAGTGATATTGATGAGGACAATAAATTTTTATTGTTGATATCCATTGTCATCATCCAAATTTCCTTGTGATAGTGTTCAAATTTTCACTGATGCAATTCATTGAACACCATTTGAGCATAACATATAGACAGAAGAATGTTTATGTCTCATGTTTTACTCTTTCCAAATGCATAACAACATACATTGAGATATGAATCAACTCAACAAACAAATGCAATCATCTACGTTCAATTCTAACTCTCACTGAATAACCTCGCTTCTGAGCTTTCACCTTTGCTGCAGTCAAGGCTATTGATTTCTTATTAGGTATGGATGGAATGAATCGAAGGGCCCAAATTTGCCTCTCTGTATTAAGTGAACCAAAAGCTTAACGGGAACAAAATGCCAATAGACACTTTCATCTTCTTCCCCGATTGCAGCTCGGCCGTTGGATGATGAAGTCACAGAGCAATCTCCAGCACAAGTGCAGAGGAAATATTGACAGAAAGAAAACAAAATCTCACAAATGAGTGCAGGTCGATGGTGTCAGCGGATGAGTATGCGGCGCGTGGTTGTGATCAGAAACCTTGTGCAGCAAAGAAGGGCGGAGGACAGAATAGGAAATAAAAATAAGAAGAAAACACACTATTGGGTATACCTACCAAAATTTCCTATCCTTTGTTCTTAATAACCCTTTATGTTCGCATCGGTCCTTATTGGCAAAATAAATTATCATATTATATTTAATTTTTTTTTATTAAAAAGAAATATGAGTAATTTGGGCTAGTAAACCCAACCCAAAATATTAAAAAGATACCAAATTTTTAAAAAAAAAAAAAAAAGAACAAAAACTAAGGGTTAAAAAAATATATTTCAATTGACTAACCAAAACACAACATTCATTTTAACCGTTCGTTCTCTCTCTCTCTCTCCCTCACTCTCTCTCTCTCTCTGCTATAAACTAATGCCCTTCATTTTACTCATTTTCTACTGAACACAAACACTCTCTCTCTTCTTCTTCTTCTTTTTTTTTTTTTTTTTTTACGATTTTTTATGTGTTATGAAAAATATATCAAAATATTTTTTTGTTTTCTACTAAAATTAAAAATTAAAATTAGTAAACAATGATTGTTTAAAATTAAAAGAAATTTTTTAAAATTAAAATTAATAAAATCTTTTCTACGATTGACTATCATAAGAAATATTAGGTAAATTATTGATACTATCAATAGAAAAAGATATAGAAATAAAACTTAAACATAAAAATTACCGGTAAAATTTTAAATTGAAATAAAAAAACCTCAGTTTTAGTTATTGGTAAAAGGACTTGATTTTTGTAACCGAAAGGTTTTTTTGATCAATGGGACCCACAAACCGAAAGCTCAAGTATCAAACTGAAACAAGTTGCATAATTATTATCAGATAAATATTTTACTTACACTTTTTTTAAGTTTGTCACCAGATGTCTCACATTTGATAAATTACACTAAAACTCCCTTTTAGTAACAAAAGAAAACTGACTTACCAGATGTTATAAGTCCAACCATCATGCCACCCCATATTAAAACCCAAATTTGAACTCAAACCCATACCCGAGAGAGAGAGAGAGAGAGAGAAGTCAAATGGTTCAGAGGAGGCGTCAATTGGTGGTAGAGGGCGCAATCAACTTAGGTTCACTGCCTTCTTTCTGTTAAGCAATCTCCAGCAGAATCTTCGACACTTCGTGGCCTTTGCTGTGGGTAGGCTGGGCTTTGGGGATTTTGCAAGGTGGGGGTGGGGAATTTGCAGGGTGTGGTGGTTGGTTAGGATTAAAATGGGTTGGGGGATGAGGAGGGTGGGCGAACTGTGGTGGCGGTGATGGAATTGGAAATGGAGGAAGAGAGTTTATTTATTCAAAGAATTAATTGTATTTGTGGTTTAATTGAAAATTAAAAAATTATTAATTTTTATAGGATTTTTATTAAAATTGTGATAGGGTAATTTGGAAATTTTGTATAAAGAAGATACTGTTGTCACCAAAATTTCTCGCTGATGCAAGGACGCGTAAACGTGCTGTAGCAAGGCAGTGACTCAAGAGGAAAAGACAAGAATGCGTAACAGAAAGCACAAGATCGAGTCAGCGTCGCATAGGGATATGATAAGATGGTCCCACCTCCTTGGTACTATGCACTCTTCTGTATTATCTTATGTGCGGCAAAAGTGGTATCCAACCAACCAAGCCAACCTAGCTTCCGGACAAGTTAGTCAGCTTTGAACAACTTTCGAATAAAAAAATGGACATAGTGTCCCACGCCCCGACCCCGACCCTTACCTCTTGCTTGGATGAATTTTGAGAAGAAGTTTAAATTCATTTCTTTAAATCTTTTCAAATCGAAGTTTTGTTTTAACAAAGTGGGATTCAATATTTAATTCGGTTCATACTTATATTTAATGTATAATATATACTCATATAAAACTTATAAATATATCATAATTATTATCAACTATTTATTCTATAAATGACTATTTTACCTTTAATCAATTCAATTTGTACTTTTGTTAAAAAGTATAATTGTCTTTTAAATCTTTAACCCCTTATTCATCTTCTCAAACTCACCCTTTTTATGTTCGACAAAACTTATGATTATGGGTTTAATCTTCGGGTCAATTACAGATCGAGTTTGAGAATCTTTTTGACTATTTTTCTTAAGAGATAATGAGATGTCAGTACATTTTTTAAAACTTATTTGGTTTGAAATACCACCTCCAAACTTATCCTCTTTTAAGTCATTTTCTTATCAAATAATTGTCGATAAGTACACATTTTAAAACATTTTCAAATTCTTTTTAAAATGTATTATATAATTACTCATATCCTAAATAATGCATACATAACATCATGTTTAGTAAGGAATGAAAGTAGGAATGATGAAAAAATGGATGAATTAACTTTTTTTCCAACTCACCAAAATCAATCCCTCCAAAATCGGAAGAAAAGTGAATGAAAAGTTAATTATTTGTGTTGAGATGTATTTTATTTGTCTCTATATATATTAAAAAATAAAAAAAATTAAAATTAAAATTAAAAATTTTAAATTAAAAATAAATATATTTTTCCATCATAACTAAGGGTGAAAATTTTCGATTCAACACGATGACACGACTCGAACTTAATACGAAAATAAACATGTCAACTAGCAACTAGACACGACATAACACAATAAGTTAAATGAGTTAAGTTAGGTTTGACTACTATTCGACACAAATCCGTAATAACTTACACATGAATCTGATACGGCACAATTTGATTATCACCCGTGAACTTAATCAGCACAAAAAAAAATCATTATTATTATTTTTATTTTTCATCCATCCAACCAAACACAAAAGAAAGAAAGTGTATACTTCCTATTTTCCATCCTTGAATGATAGAAAATATATCTCTCTTACTTTCTATTCTTCCTACTTTCTATTTTCCGTATCAAACAAAGCATAATTGATAACTTTTATATTTTTAATATTTAAATATTAAAATGTGAATCTTTCAAAATTTCTTTTGATATTTATGTATCATTTAAAATAAAAAATTTAAAATTTCATATATATATACATATACACACACGTGTAGTATACAAAATCCCACACGGCTTTAGACAATTTGTCAAAACCTCATAATTGTATTCTTTAGAAAACTAATCCAATATAATACAGTACTTTAATTACATGTAGTTGCGTCTACAAAAGCACCATTCAATGTATTTAAATATAAAATTACAGCCTTCAATGTCAGAAGTTGACAAATTCACTACCACGTGCTTCTGAGACCTATACAAGATTAATATCAATAGCCACACGGGAAATTTTTTTTTAAAAAAATGCAAAAGACAATTTCACCCTTGCATTCGGACTGCAATTCCAATGAAGGACAAGAGTGACAACAAACACAAAAGGCTCTTCTCTCTCTAATCAATAGAGATCACTCCCTATCCAAAAACTACTACCAGAAAGAAGGATTTTTCCTTCCCTTTTAGTTTTATTTGAATCAACTTCTCTCATCAACCCCTTCCATTTACATATACATATTTGAGTGATTGACACTAAACTTACCAGATTAACCATTTCCAACATCTATATACACAACAAAACAAATAGTTCCTCTCTCCCCAAAAACGCCCCTACCGTTTGTTTCTCCCCTCTGCTTCTGGGGGTCTCAAAATGGAATTTGTCTAAGCTACAGCAGAGATGCCCCTACAGTTGAACCCTTCAATCCTCACTGCAGCTGGCTTGTGGCTGAATTTCGCACGAACACATCCCCCTCCATTTTTACGTGCCGAGGATGGAGATGGTGATGCTTCAAGGGCCGGAGCTAACTGACCGAGTTTGTCAACACCAAAGTTAGAGTCTTGGATCACAGGGTTTGAAGCCCTACTTGGTGGAGACCCAGAGAAAAATGGTGGCGATGAAGCAACCAGAGTGTTGGGCTTCTCAACACCATAACTTCCCTATAAAATCAAACATGAATCACTAATTGGATACACTTCTATGGAGAAATAAAGCTAACAAACTCTTCATAAATATTTCAATTGCAACGAATTTTTCTCTCTTTGTGTGTGTGTGTTGGGTTGGAAGGGGGGGGATGCTAAAACTCAATTTCTGAGAAATTTTAATTTGCATGTGTTTAGGGGTCATTTTAGTAATGGAACGATTCCAGCCAACAAGGAAAATAATCCTTTATTCTAGAAAACTCAGGAGTCAATTTTCTATGACAATAATACTCAAGTGTAATGTTATACATGTTCACTAACTGGGGCATAGCATACCAACATAACTTCGAATATGCACAACGTAAGCATTGCATAAGCTACATTTGCTTAACTGAAAAGCTCCCAGAATGAAACCAAAAATTAAAACTGTTTGCAGATCAATATACACGCATAATGGCGCTCTACAAAAAGTTCCCTGTTATATATGGATTTTTTATAGCTTCTTTCTTTCTAACACTAGCGCAAATCTGAGAATACCAATTTTGTCCAAACAATGGTAAACTTTATATTTATCGCCAGCTAAGAAGTACAGGCACTCGGCCGTTTCCGCGTTCTACTTTTTCTTAAGATTTACAGTGCCAGCGTCTTGTCACGTCATAGTTGGTTGTGCTTCATATGTACACAGTCCATCCATCTTAGCACCTCAATTATACTGACACTTAGGATGCAGTATAAGTTGACCTTTGTGAAGGTTACAAATTTGTGGGAATTTTTGTCCCTTATATTTGCCAAGGATTGAAAGTATGAGATTGAAAAATATACTTTATTTCTGAAGGGCAAAAAAGTAAGAAACTTCAATTTTTTCGATTTTCCTACCTTTTCTAGGCAAGCAATCAGATCCTTAAGGGAATAAAAAGGGTATTATAAAATATTTGTTGAACCAGAGTCATACTCAGGAGAGGGAAATAGAAAGAGAGTGTACTTTGGTGAAAATGATGTCGAGAACTTCCGTCCCTGCTTTTGCTTCATATACCCCCGTTTGATAGCTGCTATTTGATAATAAAAGTCAACAAAAAATTCAAAGGAAAATCAGAATTCTGTGAAAAATACACTTAAACCCAAATCAAATTCATAAAATCAAAATCAGAGGAAAGTCAGAATTTTAAAAAATCTAAAACTTTTATAAAAAAAAAATCATACTTGATGTGGCACCTAGATGGTCTGATATGGTCGTTAATGGAGGGATTGAAGCCGCCAAGTCGACGAGGCTTAGGGCAAACGACGCCGCCCGAGGCGCAGATCGATTCTCCCCTCATCTCTCCACAGATCCCCAACACCTTCTGCTGATATCCACACCTATTCATCTTCTCTCTCTCCACAGATCTAAGATCTGCACAATCAACCTGCACACACAAACATATAAACACGATATATGCTCAGATCAAAAGTCAAAATCCGTATATTGATCAGAAAATTGCTCGGAATTCATGAACAGAAAAGATGTCTAGAGAGAGAGAGAAATAGTGATGATTACCTGGTGACTATCTTCTTGATAAGTCTGCCAGGCTTGAATTAGAGAGTAGCGAGAGAGAGAATAAGAATGAGAGAGACGGCCGGGAAAGAGAGGGCTAACTAGATGGTTGGGCGAGTATTAATAGAAGAAGAGAATGTGCACGCAGGGTACTGGGGTGGAATTAGCTACATCACGGTAAGATCGTGTGCTGTAGGATCGGGTTTGGCAGCCGTACGATTAAAACTTTTTTGCTGATTGTTCTCAATGCTTACGTGGCATAGCTTATGAAAATTTTTTACTTCCTAATACAGAATGATCTTTAAGATCAAAAACGATTCGCTCATTCAGAAGGATTTTTAAGAACGGAAATGGCCAATATTATCTGTTGGTTCTTATTTTTTAAAATTAATGAAATTGAACGAATTTAATACTACATCGAGTATGAATCCACAAGAACTCTTATGTTAGTCAAAACACAAATGTTATTGGGACATAATGAAATATGACTATTAAATTGGTTGTAAAGTGTATTTAATAATAAAATTCACTGATAATTTAATAATCACAATCACTATATCTCAATTGTATTGTTTTTGTATGATTTATAGGGGTGAGATTTGAAGTTCTAACATCATTAATAATCAAGATAAATAAGACATAGAAATTACTTGACTTAAAAAATTTAAGAATATAATTGTCTATGATAATAATTGTGTTGCTTTCATTTGAAGTCTCTAAGCTTAAATTCTTGCCTCATCATGATATAGTCGACCTATACATCTCTTAAGATTAATGCTCCGTTTGATACAATAAAAAAATGAGGATAAAAAGTTGGAAGGATAAATAAAATATTATGTTTGATAAGAAAAAAAAGTAGAAAAGATGAAAAAGAAATCCCTCTAAAATCAGAAGGAAAGTGGATGGAGAGTTAATTATTTGTGTTGAGATGTATCTTATTTGTCTATATATCTTTTTATATATACATATATTATGTATACATTAATTTCATAAAAAAATATAGTGATAAAATATGTGTGTGTGTGTGTATATATATATATATATTTTAAAAAAATTAAAATTTTAAATTAAAAAAAAATATATTCTTTTCAGTGAAAATTTTTAACTCAACACGATGACATGACTCAAACTCGATACAAAAATAAACAGGTCAACTCGCAATTCGACACGACACAATTAGTTAAATGAGTTAAATTAGGTTTAACTAATATTCGACACAAATTTGTAATGATTCAATACGAATTTAATACGACACGACTCGATTGTCACCGTTAATCTTAGCCAGCACAAAAAAAAAATAGTCATTTTTTTTTCTATTCATCCAACCAAACACAAATGAAGGAAAGTGTATCCTTCCTACTTTTTATTTTTTAAGGATAAAAAACTTATCTCTCTTACTTTTCATTCTTCCTACTTTACATCCTCCTTACCAAATAGAGCATAAATTTGCTATGTGTTAATTTTGTACAAAAGTGAAGGCTAGCCTATTTTAAATTCACGTTCGTTAAAAAATTGACAACTTTCAATGAGAACAGACAACTCTTATCTTTTATCTATACTTAGAATCGGCTGTATAAAATCTAAATAGTAACATACCATGACATAGTTTGAACTTATTACAAAAAAAGAAAAAGAAAAAGAAAATAAATTTCTTATTATTGAACAAAGAGCAACACCATCTATTTTTAGTCTCAAGTGGACAATTAATAACAATTATTGTGCGAGCAGGATCTTGCACAATATAAAAAACGAGAACAAATCTCTCCATTGGTGAACTCGAGTGAGTCAGTTGAGTGATCAACCACGCTGCTTGGGACAGCCTGTGAGGTCCGGTGGTAACCTGGAACGGTAACGGGAGACACTCGTGAATTGAAGGAATGATCTAGTAAGGCTGGGGAAAGGTTCCTAGAACAAAGAAGAACAAGTTAGAAGGACGCCGGAGTGTTTTTCGGCTTATCCCCTCCGACGATCAAGTCAGTTTTTGAAAGGGAGAGGAAGAAGAAAGCACTGAATATATTTCGTAGTAAAGAGTTTCTTGTTGCATACCGTTTTGACTTTTATGAGGAGTATTTATACATCAAAAGCTCATGATTGCTGTCACTGTTGTCAGTAGATGATCATTAGGTACAGGCAGTGTGCGCACTGATTCTGATGAGGAATGTCTTCCTTTCTTTAACTGCTCGGGGTGCCGAGCAATCAATGCTGTGTCATCGGGCTGCCGACTGTCTAATGATCTCCACTCGGGGAGGATGCAATAAATGCCCAGCCTTAGAGACATTTATTGTCTTTCAATTCCGAGCCTTACCGCATTGAATGCGGTCTCATCAAGGGAAATGGTGTAATTAAATGTTTGCTTTCCCAAGTCGCGTGTCAGTAAGGGCATACGGTCTTTCTGTCTCTGATGTAACACAATTTGTCACGCGTCCATCCCTTATTGGCTGTGGACCCTGCCTTCTTGTTTCTTCTGACACCAATTGTGTAAGACGAGACCATGATAGCTAACCTAGACTAGCCTAGGCTAATGACCTGCACATCAATAGCTTATACTGGAGCAGAGAAAAAGGTATCCTGGACGGGGTACATCTCGGTATCGAGGACATGCACATCTCGGTACCGAGGATAGGTACATCTCGAGCCGAGGGAAGTCGTACATGATGACCGAGGTACCATACCAGACCGAGGGATACGTGTCGGTACGTAAAACGTACTCGACACGTGTCAAGTACCTCGGGCGAGGGAGTTGTAAAGCCGATGGTACGTGATCTCAGTTAACAGGATTTTTTAGTGACGCCGAGGACACGTGTCTTCATCTTAAAGTATTTTCAGAAAAGTCTCATCAACTGCTCCCCAGCCTTTGATCTCCTGACGCCGAGGACACACGTCGTAAGGAGACGAAGGGTTTCCCAACTACCTCAACTGCTTCATCATTGCTTCTAGCTGCTTTCCCCTACTTAGGGAGTCATGCGCACTAAATGCGCCCTTTTCGTGTTTCGCGCCCAATAATGAGACCGGTACTATATAAATGGGCTTCCTCCCTCTTTTTCTCATTTCGTCATTCTGAACTTTTCTTCCAAAGAGCCCTTGCCTGAATCTTCGCCGGAGACCTCTTCTCTTCTGTCTCTTAACTGCCCAACCTTTTCACTGAAGCTTTAAAGCTAGCGGACCCATAATTTGTTTCTGAACATTCTGGGAAGGAATCGATTTAAGTTTTCCAGAAAATACCTCTTCTTACGCTCTGGTGAGTTCCAATATCCTCCATTTCTTTGCCCTTCTGTCTCTTTTGGTTTTCTGATTACCGGAGGTATTTTTTGGTTGCCTTCCAGTGATCGACCCCCGGGAAGCCTTCTTGGGGATCTTCGTGGAAAAACCCCCTCTATTTTTATCATTTCTTGAACATGTCTTGTCGTCGTTCTGCCCCCGAGAATCCTCAGGCTAGTACCTCGAGGCCAGGGAAGTATAAAGTAAAAGGTACTGAACAAATTAATAGATTTAGGGTTAGGTACGACGTTTCACTGAATGTAGAGGTAGAGGATTATGATGCAGCTGTGCACCCTCGTACCCTCGGTACCGATGATGCAATGTCTTTTTATATTAAAGTCATTATAGAAGGCGGAATTAGGTTCCCTTTGCCCCCTCTGCTTCTCCAGTTCCTCTCTCATTTCCACCTCTTTCCCAGACAGTGTTGCCTTAATGTCTTTAGGATAATTATGAGGGTGCTAGAGCTCAATAGGCGTCTTGGGGTAAACGTCGGGCTGAACGATATCCTTTTTTGTTATTCCCTTTTGAGAGTTACGCCTCAACAACACTTGACTGGATCGTCGGAGGGGATAAGCCGGAAAATACTCTGGCGCCCTTCTAACTTGTTCTCCTTTGTTCTAGGAACCTTTCCCCAGCCTTACTGGATCATTCCTTCAATTCACGAGGGTCTCCCGTTACCGTTACAGGTTATTACCGGACCTCACAGGCTGTCCCAAGCAGCGTGGTTGATCACTCAACTGACTCACTCGAGTTCACCAAGGGAGAGATCTGTTATCATTTTTTATATTGTGCAAGATCCTGCTCGCACAATTATCATTATGCTTTCTTTGCATAAAAAAAAAAGAACAAATAGACTAATGCTTGGAGAAGAAAATTTGAAGGGCTAGATACTTCATTATTAATATATTAGGGATAATTCGTGTTTAAAGTCGCGGTTACAATGTGAATAATTTTGAAAGAAATATTGGTGACCGTTAGATGAATTTATTTGAACCGTCGAATGAATTTATTAAAAACTGACATGTTTTGTATTACAGATTAATTCACATTTCCTTTTGCTTTTTTTTTTTTTGGATGTCAACTCCTTTTAGGTATTATCATATTTGGAATTTTTTTCTTCTCTTTGCAAAGCTTTCTAGCCGTATTTTTCACTTACAACACTAAAGAAAAATATCAAAGACCAAGTGAATTTGTATATAGGAAGAATTCAAACAATCGTGACGATTTTGGTGATATATAAAGGTAAAAATAAAAAAAGACAATTGATTTTGAGCAATCGAGGAATACACGACAACTCTTCTCTCCAGGACAGATATTTGTGATAAACAATTTTACGTCACTAAGCAATCTTATAATTGTAAAGATGTCAAATTAAGCATAAGGTTAGTTCGCTAATAAACAAAAAATTCGCTGTCTTGAGACATTGTTATTTATTTGAACTGAGAAAGCAAGAGGAGAGAGAGGCTCCTTGATTCCTCACCAAAGTGAATAACGACAAGACAAGTGTTGGGTGGGGGGTATTATAGGTTGGGACCCACCATATATAACATGTCTCTCATCTTTCATATGCCTTTTTTCCTTTGTAATCTTTTGGCATTGATTCTTCTGCTGGCCCTCTTTGCCAATTTGTCTACGTAAGTTTCCATTTTTATTTTATAGGTAAACTTTTATTAACTTTCAAGTAAAGCATTATAACAGATAACAAAACACTGACGGAGGAGGGATAGAGAGATTGTCACACTCTATTAAATGGATGTAAACGATGAGTATCGAATTCGATGCCTTAAGATTCAATAGTGAAAACGGTAGTCATTGAACTAACTACTAACTTGTCAAAATTCAAAAAAATACTTCTTTTTTAAATGGTGCATTGATTCTCATTATGTCAAAGACATTTTGAATGGCCATATCCATGTCTTCGGATTTTCTCAACTCCAGATTTTGGCAATTTTGATTAAGTTCAATCTTTGATTTCATACGGAGATTTTCAATAAATATTGTGG